AATTGATGCGTTTGAGCCAAGCATTGAAGGAAAAACGGCCGCTATATGAGCAGAGACACGACAAAGTGATTTTGCAACATGACAATGCTCGGCCACATGTTGCACAACCGGTGAAAACGTACTTGGAAACGCTTAAATGGGAAGTCCTACCCCACCCGCCATATTCACCAGACATCGCCCCTTCCGATTATCACTTGTTCCGATCGATGGCACATGGCCTGACTGAGCAGCACTTTCGTTCTTATGAAGATGCCAAAAAATGGGTTGACTCTTGGATAGCCTCAAAAGACATGTCGTTTTTCCGACGTGGAATTCAAATGCTGCCAGAACGATGGAAGAAAGTAGTGGCTAGTGATGGACAATACTTTCAGTGACGTGTTTATTACGACTTTTTTTAAATAAAGTGTTAATTTTCACAAAAAAACAGCGAGAACTTATTCAAGGTCCTTATAGATAGTACTTATTTAATAGACAAAAGAAATTCTTTGTGGTCTTAGCCATCTCAGTCTCTCAAACTATTCAAAAACATTGAGGATGAGAGTAACAATATTCTATATAATATATCAGTTCACAGATTTGATCATGCTTTAAACTTTATTGCAATCTAAATAAATTTTTTTTCTCTAATTCTGTAAATGATGTAATGAGTACATACAATATAGTAAAAAATTTGTGACATGATTACATGCAAATGACATAAATGTGTTTGTAGAAAGAAAGAAAGTTGAATTGGTCGGTTGTCATAGTGCTGAATTTTGTACTCCTGCACTGTTATGTGGGTGCAATAGTTCTCTCTTAAAATTTTTCAAATTTTGTATTTTAATATATTTGAATTGGCATTGATAATACAATACAACCTTGGTAATATAATTTACTGTATATGTAACTGAAACAGTATCAGATTAAGGAGATTGCCAGATTATTTGAAGTAAGGTGAATTCAAATGGAACAAAAATGAATTTGATAGCATGGAGTCAACTGTTAACCTTTCATCAGTAGGTTAGTAAGGTATGGTGCCATCCCTATGTAGTGGAGAATAAAAGTGGGACATTTTTTAAGTATTTTCCCACACATTTTTTCTCATAACTGTTTACAAAATCTCTTTCTGAAATGGTAATGTCTAATAAAGAAAAGTATTTTTTTATTGTTACATAATTCCCTTTTTATGTGAATTTTTTTTTGCGGTAGTTTTTCACTAGTTTTTGGCGATATCCATAAAAGAATTTTGTGGATATATCTGTTGTTCACCAGTGCCACACAATTGCTCTTGACGGATATATCCGTCGGTGACTGCTGAGTGGATAATGATGCAGGAAAAGACAAGTTGGACTACTGATTGAAGCATTTGAGCACACTACTGTTGTGGATGATCAATGTTGCCAAGTTTGTGGATTCCTATTAAATTAAGTGAGGTACAATATTTTTGGGGGACTAATTTTTATATTTATACAGTATTTTATTATAAAATACTGTAACTTTTTTGATCAGCCTAATATGATGATCATAATAATCTATAATATTGTACCCAAACTTAAGTTTTCAATTTCAGGCTTGATATCATCCCACATTTAGTGGGAATTGGAGTTTGAAATAGTAGGAAGCTTGTCTACAACTTGGCAACAGTTCCAGTAATTCCCAAGAGTTGACTAGAATTGGATTACTGGATACATCAAACTAGCAAATGGTCAGATTACTGAGATTGTTTTGTAGTTATAACTATTATTCTACCTGGATTGATTCATTTGTCTTGCATTTCATATACTAATGTCACAATAAACGGTGTTTCGATAGTAGCATTATCTAAAATGATTCTTACTTTGAAATTTGAAAAAATATATATACTTCAGTAATGTCTTGAAAGATTTATCTAATTTATATAATAATTTATAATTTTGTATTACCTTAACTGGTTAACAATTGTACAATAATTTACTGGTAAAACTTATCTAGAGAGTTTTTATTTTATAATTTTAAAAAATAATTTGAGTAAACTTGATAAATTACGCGAAAATAAGATATTTTAAAAACTGGATTTTACTGGAAATTTATGAATAGAAAATAATAACAACTATATTTTTAAATACAAAATTTGACAATATATACATAATTTTTCTTCTATAAATTTCAGATGAAATATTTAACTGAACTCAACTCTTTATTTGCAAAAATTGATGACAGAAGAAGAGTAAGTTGATTTTTATAATTACCTTTTCATTATTTTTTTTTTTGTGGTGTAGTAAACACTAGTATTGTGTTTTATTCCAAAGACACATGGCAAATTTTCCATCAAATTCCTTTATTACCTTTTCATTACTTATTAGATTAATGTTGATTCTTATATTTCAGAAGCGTGATGTTCCAGACTATTTATGTGGAAAAATAAGCTTTGAAATAATGAGAGAACCTGTGATAACACCAAGTGGCATCACTTACGACAGGAAGGACATCGAAGAACATTTACAGGTGAATTTTTAACATATTTTCACTATAAAATGCTTTTTATGGAATCCGTTTATATATAAAAGAATTATTTTAATATAGCGTGTCGGTCACTTTGATCCAGTGACGAGAACACCTCTCACTCAAGATCAGCTCATCCCAAATCTTGCAATGAAAGAAGTGGTAGATACTTTTTTGGGTGAAAATGAATGGGCAGTTGACTATTGATGACCACTGGTACATCTAAATCTTATTTTTAGCTTTCATATCAACATTCTATGAATATTGATATGTAAAGAAAGAACTCGACGGTCATTTCTACAGCTAAAATATTTGATCGTCACTGACATCAAAAAAAAAAAAAAAAAAAAAAAACTGGTGCTTTGGAATTTATTGAAGTCCATCCACGTGACAATCTTTTATTTCAAGTTAAAGTAAAAAATATCTACAGAGAAAATTTGTCTTCTTCCCCATGGCAGATCCCATTTTTTCAAACGTAGAATTTTATTTTAAACAAAAGGATTTAGAAATAGAAGGCACATTGTGGGAGTTGTTCCTGAACAATTAAAATAAAATTGACAATGCTATTTTAAAGACAGAAATCATGTTTTCACAAAGTTTAAAAATATTTTTAATGGCTCTTCTGGTTACGACAACAAAACAAAAACATTGTGGCAAAAATAAAATTTATTTTAGAAAAAAAATCTAATTAAAATCTAATTCACCAATTTATTTTGTTTATTACAAATAGTGCAAATCATAGCACTTAATTTTCCTTTTGTTCATGAATTCATTCAATTCCACCAACTTTGCAGATGGATTATGTCAAAATAAACTGCTAATTTTGGACATGTGTTAATACACAATATAAATTTTGGTAATTGTAAAGTGTGTAAAATAAATTGATGTACTTATTAAAAAGAATATTCTTTATTATATCCAAATACTAAGAAAAATAAAATCCCATAAAAATTAATCACAAAAGTTTTTACAAAACATTATTGTTTAAGTATGAAAACTTATTTCATAGTTTTAATATTACTCAAAAATTTTTTAATAATTTTTGCCCTAAAAGATTAAATTTAATTAATATAAAATGTGTTCATTGACTCTTTAGGTAGTTGAATCAGATAATTATTTTTTTAAAACTTGAAGCATTATTATTATTTGATGATGGATCTTGTCCTTTACTTTTATATAAACCATTTTCTCTTGTCTCATCATAAATATTTGGATCAAATAAAAGCTGTTACCTTTTGTAATAACTTATTGTCTGAGATATGCAGTGAAGTTTTAGATATTTTTCTATTTTTTTGAATTTCTCATTGGAAACAGATCCTTTACTAATGAGAGAAAAATGTGATATGCCATTAGATCAAATTCTCTACAATTATTCATTGTATTTAGAGTAAATTTTCATATTTATCAGATATATAAAAATTTTTGCATTCTTGTGATATTGTATGAGACTTTTGTGTCTGATCTTTAATACTATACAGTATAATCTGGGTTATTAACCAATGAATATAGATTAGATTTGATTAGCTAGACAGATATGTGATTATTTATTCTATTACTGAAGATTTGCATAATGGTAGGTGATAAAATTTCCTAGATACAATACAATAGATAATAGGAAAAAAGGAATTAGTCAACTTGCTTTAAAACAAACATCGATAAAGTGAATTCTTGTGTTAAAGGTTTTTTTGCCTTTGCCTTGGCAAAATGCCATTGTCACAACAATAATTTTAATGTGATGTAAAAAAATTTTACCAGAATTTACTAAAACAAACTATAAATTATCTTCACAACCCCAAGAAATAATAACCTGTTTCCAATAAAGGTTGCTTTTTTACACTTTTTGAAGTGAATAATAATGAATGGTACTGTAATAAATGTTCCATTTTAAATAGAATGGGCTTTCTTCTCTTAGTAAGCAAAGATGGGTTTGGCCTCCAATTGTAGAGCAATTCAAACATTGATTTTAGCAGATCATTCAATAGTATTCAGAAAATAGGGATAAAATTTAAGTATGCCCATCCCTTTAAATGGATGTAGTCCCGTGCAAACACATGCTAGTTTGCATTTTGGGGAATGCATACAGTGATGCAGGTTTAGCTAGTTTGTACCAAATTTGGATCAAATTTTACTCTTTTGGTGCAAAAAAGTGTATTCTACTTTTTCAAATAATCTTCAGCAGAAAAAAAATTAGATTGGGCTGCAATTTGAAAAAAATTATAGACCTATAAATTCCCACTGTCTGTCCTTAATCTGGAGAACAAAGTTAGATAGATGAAAGACGAGACCAGATATGGAAATCTTAGGTTAGGGGCCATATGTAGTTAATCGATTAACTTCCAACTTTCCGGAATACACATTATTTCAATTTAAAACTTCAATTTAAATCCCCTGAAAGCAGTGACTGGCACCTCTCCATTGCTAAAGGAAAAGTATGATGTACAGGGGCAAGCCACTACAGTACTAATTTGAGATGGAAAGCATATATTTTAAATTAAATAATTTAAAAATTGCAGCCCAGCATTGTGATGTGTCACAATAAATAATTGCTTGTTTCTTTTAGTGTTTTGTTTTGTTTGATCACTCTGATATACTGCTCTACACTTAAATGGCAAATATTGTTTCTTCCTCACTTTGATTTAAAAATCATTTAGAACATTAATCTGTTTTGTGAATAAATTTAATTTTATTTAACTTTATTTAGTAAATTAATTCAAAATACTATAATTTAGAGATTTCAATCACCTATTAAGTTTTAATTCTCTAAATTATACGACCATGACTCTGAAAATCGTTAATACAAATTTTCAATAAAGTAAACTAGCTACTGTTCCCCTAGCAATTTGTATTAATGCAAATTAACCATATTCACTAATACTTTGAGGCATTAGTGAATAACTTTTTTCTTATTATCAAAATTTATTAACATAACTATTTATTTTATGTAGCATAATTAATAGTAGACAAAGGTAACTTGAGAATGAATTTGTTTTCGTTATATTCATAAATAATGTTTGGATTGACTAGACAGATATGCAATTGTTCAGATTACCAGATGATAAGAAATGGCCAGTATATACTGTTTAATTACTGGCCAAATAAATTATTTGAAGTATTTGTTTTTATCAAAATTGCAGCCACTATTGAAATAATTTAAAACAGCTGCATGAGATGATATTTTGTTGACTAGTAATGTATGGAAATTTGAACAAGCACACAAATAATATTGGCATTGCAGTAAAAAATATATTCTTGAAGATTTAGCAATACTCAAGTCAGACTGTGAAGTCAAGCTTGTAGCACTGCTAGCTCAAAACAATATTGGATTGATGTGACTTGAGTTTGGCGATACTGATACACCAAACTCTTCATACCACTTTTCAAGGATTATACTTTCATTTTGATCACTTCTATACAATTTCCTACTTTTGTTGTTTGTCAAAATTTTGCTTGTGTTTGAATCAGTTATATGCAACAATATACAGCTATATTAATACTGATGACAATCAGTTTGATTGCCTTCATACAATTAATAGTTGAATATTTGTTGCCAAAACATGGTTATGACTAATATCTATTAATCATTTAGTAACTGACAGCCAGATGGCCGAGCGGTCAAGGTGGCAGCTACTGCTTGGGGAACCCGGGATCGAATCCGAGCGGGTCAAATAATTCCCAGGAATTTTTTGGGGATGGTCCCTCACCACCCGGCCAAACCCATAATGGGTTTGCAATAAACAGGCCCTCTTAGTGCCCACTGGGTGAAAAGAGTTTAAAAAAAAAATTATTTAGTAACTAATACTTCTCTCATTAGATGGCCCAATGGCCAGGCAGTTAAGATGGTAGCCTATGACTCTGGAGGACCTAGGATAGAATAGAATAAAAAGTCCTCTTAGTGACAACAGGATGGAAAGAATGAAAAGAAAAAAAAAACACTTTTCTCACTAAGCATTCAACAATTATTTCCAACAAATTAATCTATTTGTATTGGTAATACAGTCGACCCCCCTATAAGATAGAGATACGTTCCATTCTCTAGGAATCCGCTTTCTTACGAATCCTTCCAATCACAACCCGACACGTATCAAGTTTACGGACTACGGCTGTTTGAAAGATTTTCTTCCATAAAATTTATCGATTCTAGACTAATCCGACTCAACATTTCCAAAATACGTACAGTAGAACCTCGATTATCCGGACTAATTGGGGATGAAGGTAGTCCGGATAAGAAAAAATCCGGATAATCGAAACAAACACTTTAATTTGTCTTTTAATGATAATACAACACGTTTTCTTTTCGATGACATATCGGCAATATTAAAAGTAAATACTGTATTTAAATCGTGATCAAATTTTCAAGAAACAAACATTCATATTGAATTTGGACTACTACTGACCAACGCTAACAGACTACCTACTGTTTAAAAGGCCCTCTAGTGGCGCAAGAAGACGGATTTTATAAAATAAAAAGCAGTTGAAACTGCA